CTCCTATAAGAAGTGAACAAAAGTGGTGTCCGACTTATTATTTTGAATTAAATTATAAGAAATAAATAACAAAAAATGTCTCTACAATATGAAATGCTGACTTTCTCGAAAGTTTTTTTAATAACTCATTGATTTCTATGAAAACAGAACATGTAGTCTGTTATATACGAAAGTCTTCCGAAACATCTTCACCTACATGCGAAAATAAATTTGTTGATGATGGCCGAAACATGCCACCGACCTAGGTTCAGTCCCAAACCATTTTCTGTGTGCATTGATAGCTCATAGAATGGCTTTTGGATTTCTTTACTCTACATATGATAGTTTTTTTTTTAATTAGCAAAACTACAGAGACGAAAATAGGCTTTATAGCCAAATGAAGATTTGAGTTTAGTCTCATACATAAATAATCTATTGACGTTTATTGACAGATTAATCTGTTTGAATGTCATAGATTGTAAAAACCATATACTTAAAGAAGGATCTTTATAAGTTTTAGAGTGTGGCTAAACAGATTCACTAACTGTTAGTATATATATATATGTAAAAGAGAGAGAGAGAGAGAGAGAAAGAGAGAGAGAGAGAGAGAAAGAGAGAGAGAGTGATGTCAGCGAAGAGTGTAGCTGAACATTCGGTAGTAAGCAATAGCAGAAGTCGTTCGGTAGTAAGCAGTAGCATAAGCCAGTCGGTAGTCAGCAGTCAGTAGGTGCAGTCGGTTGTTCAAGCAGTTGCTGTCGGTTATGAAATTATAATAAACTTAATTAACTTTAAATTCTAATAAACTATATAAACAATTAATTTATATGTATATCACTTACATATTTCTTCTTGACAGTGATTTGTTTTATTACTGATACTTTAATCATTAAATTTTCAAGCTTAACATCTATTAAAACAAACGAGAATTAATTAATTTTTAATTAAGTGAATACCTGAATCAATGATGTGTACCTTTACCATATTTTCTAATCTATCGATCTATATCCAAATCTACACATTCTGTTCAATATTATTTTATGTGGATTGAATAAAATTAACATTCAAGGAAACTTTTCCTGTTAGATTCATTTTACATATTCAATAATCAATTACTCTTAATGGTTTCTTATTCCTTTCTTCATTAAGTCAATTATGTTTCCTCGCCAGATAATCATAAATTCAACAACTGTGAGTAATTAATGATTTCCTAGTCATACCTCCACTGTTTCTTTATCAGAATCACATTGACCTATGCATGTCCAGTAAATAGTTAATAATTCCTAATTAATATTAATTATATAAAGCATATATGGTGTATATAACAATTTTGCCATTTCATTTATTTTTCCTCTACTTTCGTACTGTAGAGAATAATTTTCTGCCACATTAATTTCTTATTTTTATTTCGATTGACTTTTCACCCTTTTCCCTATTGATATGCTGCCACATTTGATTTTTGCTCCTTCTCGTCTAATTGGTTATTGCACAACTGCTGCATATTCCTTCACTTCTATCCACAGACCATTTGACCCAATTTCCTGCACGTGTTCAATTAAGCTGATTTGCCTTCCGAGAAAAGCAAGCAAAGATCAATTGACTTCCATGGAAAAAGGATTAAAAACATCGCACTTTTTTTATGGATTTCTATAAAAAAAAATCACGTTTCGTAAGAAAATATGAATTATATACTCGTTTAAAAGCTATTCTGTAGTTTATGTACTAAATACATATATTACCGTAGTAAATATGTAATAATTCTTGTATTGTTTTTTAATGATAATCACGTAGGCATTTGGGAGAAAAATAAATACTGTCATTATTTCGCATTAATTAAACGTAATTACAATAAACAACTTCATCAGGCGTCCTTTGTGTCACATATTTGCACGCATTTGAACTTGCTACATATGAGTGGGGCTCCTGGGAAATGTCAACAAGGATTACAAATAAAAACAGAAAACGGTTACAAGGTTTCGCGATATGTAAATTTAAATTTAAATTTTTTGGCTTAAAACTTTTTGTGATTAATGGCTTTACTTGCCACATTGGCCACATAAATTCTGTGTATGCTGTGTACATCGTGGAGTCAGCCATAGCCATAGCAGACTCCGGTACTTTCAACGGCACTTAAATCGCCATTTTTAAGGCAGACGAAATAAAAAAACAATAACTCAATTCGGCTTTTGTTGGGAAAAATTGCGCGAAGAACTCAATTTCCGCATCGAAGTTTCTTCTGTTTGCTCTGTTTTCACTGCAAAGGTATAACCGACGACGTAATACGAGTGTACTTCCCCCTTTTGTTGATATAAACGATTTTAAATATTAATGATTATAAAGTAACATCAATCAACATGAGCGAGAGCAAAGTTCGTCAAATAAAAAACATTCATCAGAAATGTGAAAATTTAAAAACCAAAGATTTATGTACATTTAAACACATCCACTCCAGTTACTTCCTCAACTCGACCCAAGTTCATTTGCGAAGTGTGAAGAAGGGAGTAATCGTACAACCTATCTGGAAATAAAATTTTCATTTAAAGCAGATTAACATATGTTCTTAAAACCAAGCGGATAATGTTAAATGAAATTGTAAGTAAAAGGTTTTATTTTTTTAATAATATTACACTTTCTGTAATAAGCGTAAAGAAGGATGAACTGGTTTATATAGTATAAACACAAACAAAAATATATGACCATGTATTACTTTTTAATCTAACAGCTTTTCAGTTTAAAAAATGTTAAGTCAGTTATATACGATAAATTCAACTGAAGTCTAGTCCACCTTGAAATCTTGTTGTCAAAAACCCTAAAAACTTCAGTATGAGTTTTTTACTCCATTATTTTAAGAAAGATTTAATAACGCATTCTCATAGGTCCAATAACGGATTCAGTTATCGTAATTCAGTAATGAAACTCGAAAAGAGGATATGAGTCCATATATATATATATATTTATGTATATATATTTGCAAGTTGATTTTCTTTAGACCCAAAAGACAAAAAGACATAATACAATAGGGTTAACCTATTATGATGTGATGTGGATATTAGGTGAGTTAGCTTAAGGTAAAAAATGACTCAGCAACTTGGGATCCGGAAGCTATAGTTATAGAGAGAGATAAAAATACGAGTTCCTTTTAGTAACAGTAAAGTTAAGAGAGATATACTGGGCTACTTTATGATTTAATACAAGTAGTGTCCGCTGCATTATGTGCAGATATGGGACCAATGACCGATATCCTGTTGCAGTAAAAAGAAAGATAATACCGTTTTAAAAACTCTCGTGTAGAAGTTCATATATTGATTTTTATATAGCTCCAATATTTAATTGAAGTAATCCCAATTCTAGAAACGATCATTATTTATAAAAGAAAATATTGCATATTTTTTGGCGATATTATTATAAGGTATTATATATTAGGTTAATCTTTCCACAGCAGCCTAGTGACATGGTTCTTAACGTGGGTGTTAAGGGTGTTTTACTCACACAGAAAAAACACTGTTGACTTTCACGGGACCCTGAACAATAGTGCGATATATAGATCGAATCTTCCCCGTTGGAATTCTGATGTGATTCTAATAATAATTGTCAATAAATTTTAATATAACGAATTGAAGCAAGCTATTTTTGAAACTTTGTTCTTTGCATTATATACAACTTAAGCTAACTTCTTCATATATTGAGGCTTAAAGTTCTAACTAAACATTTAACATTAATTAAACTAACCAAACAAATTTGTTCAAAATACCTGTCTTCTGCCCAATCCAAAATCTCCATAAAATCGTATCCATAAAATCCTGCATCCACTATGCCTCTGGCTGGTTGATATATACTATATATGATATAATATACTCAAATTACTGTTCATCCAATTTCCCTACATACTTTTGTTATTATTCATTTTAAATTATAAGTTCTTTGCATTAAATTCCAAGATTTTTCATTACTATTCTATGACTAATAGTTTTTAATGTGTAATAATGTGAACTGAAGAATTGTTAGAATAAAATACGTAATCTTCAAAATATGTACATGCACTTAATATTACTTTATGTTATATGAGATTAAAGTCCAGCGCACACTTGCGGTAAAAAAACATACGCAGTGTTCACGCAATATGATTGTAAGACACTATAGATCATATTAAGCAGTAGACTCGATCTTAACTGATATTCAGATCCATTGAGTCATAGCGTTATCAAATGGAATTCAACAGTCTTTGCAGGTTGAAATTCGGTAGAACGTGTGATATCAACAGGTTGTGTATACCTCAGAAGAAATTAAAATTCCATTCCTGCGACGTCCTTCAAACTTTCAAACTGGAGACCCACCATTTTAGATGCATTCGGAATCACGCAGTGCTTGCTTTCTATTTTTCCTCCATACGTCACTTTCAGGTGATATTAATCTTGTACAGCTTGTTGTTTGTAGATTCTTGGGGAATCAAGACACATATGACAGTTTATATTAACGTTAGTAAAAATTTGTTATGCCTTTCGTCGTTTGATTTCCACAAGACTTTTGCAGTTTCACAGTTATTGTAACTATTCCATCATATCATTACTTTCCTTTTAGTATTTGATATGTCTCCCACTTTCTCACTCTCTTAGTGTAGAAATTAAGGTAACCTTAAGAACACTATTCTGTGTATACTTAAATAAAATAAAAAGAATTTTGGCCCGATACTGTATACCATAGCTACAAGTATACAGTCATCTATTTGCTGCTACTCTTCTTACGTAGTCCACGTTTATCCATTTCTAAACGTACCCATAAGGTTAGTATTTTTATTGCTGTTAGACTATAGATGTTAAACATTGAGTTGCTTTCTCTTCCTGTGCAGAATAATTTAACGGCTTTCTCATAGCAATAACTTCTGAAAAAAATTTGTGCATTTATCAGGCAGTTCAACACATTAC